GGAATGTCAATTAAGAGAACAGATTCAACTGTGAGCTGTGTAAATTCCTTAATCTAAGTCACTGTTCCCTCACCTATGAACCGGGCTAAGGGAACACTACCTTCAAAGGATCTGGAGGAGAGGATGAAACAAGAAAAAGTGCAAAACTCTTGACAGTGTGGCTGATACATAGCAAGAGCTCCATAAAAATCTGCAACTCTAAGCTTTCCTTGCATAAAGCTCAGACAGCAGATTCCCCCAAGGCAAAGACCATTGTGAGCTCATGCTTGGTGGTGTAGGCTCTTAGTGAGATGTGTGGATGAAATTGGATTGGACTGAAATAGATCAATAGTTTATTAAAATTGCACTATGTTTTATCTTTCTGCTAATTTCTAATGGTATTTTAGGGGTGGTTAGCATAGAGCTGAGACATTTGAGATGCCTGCTCTCATATCGGAGTGCATGGGTTTCAGTACAGGCTCTGCTCCCAGTTCTGGCTTCCTGCTATTGCACAGCCTGGAAAGCAGCAAGTGAAGGCTCAAGTAGTTGGGTCTTTGACGTTCAAGTGGAAACTCAGATTTAGTTCCAAGCTCCTAGCTTCAACCTGTCCCAATCCTGCTATTGTGGGTATCTGGGGAGAGAAACAGTAGATGAGATCTCTCTCAGCCTCAATCTCTCTTTCTGCCTTTCAAATAAATTTTAAAGGAATAACTTTTTAACACCAAAAAGAAAATATTATATTGAGATATTAAAGTATTTGATATTAAGGAATCAAAGTCATTTTAGGCATGATTCTTATAAGCCCCTATGTTTTTAAACAATAGATAGCCAGTAACTATTTACTTCCATAGACATGTTTCCAAGAAAATTTAAAAATTTTGTTGATTTTCCAATTTGCCTTATTGGTCAACATACTTATTTCTTCCATGAGCTATTTAAAATTGATGAATTTCATTTGGGATCTTAAGAACATTAGTCTGGCCAGCGCCGTGGCTCAATAGGCTAATCCTCTGCCTGCGGCGCCAGCACACCAGGTTCTAGTACTGGTCAGGGCACCAGATTCTGTCCCGGTTGCCCCTCTTCCAGGCCAGCTCTCTGCTGTGGCCCAGGAAGGCAGTGGAGGATGGCCCAAGTGCTTGGGGCCTGCACCCCATGGGAGACCAGGAGAAGCACCTGGCTCCTGCCATCGGATCAGTGTGGTGTGCCGGCCGCAGCGGCCATTGGAGGATGAACCAACGGTAAAAGGAAGACCTTTCTCTCTGTCTCTCTCTCTCCCTGTCCACTCTGCCTGTCAAAAAAAATTTAAAAAAAAAGAACATTAGTCTTTTTTATTTCTGAGAACATTTTCTACTTTATTCTACTTTTCCACTTTCAGGGGTCTGAAATCAGTTCAAAGCTCAGAACTGAAAGTGGCACAAACGCTCTCCATTTAGCACAAGTTCTCTCTGTTCCTCTCTTGATGTTACAGAGACTTTATCTTTCTTACATTTAAAAAACTGAAACAATAATACAAGCATGTCAACACGTGATGAACTCCTAAGAGGAGATCCCATGTTGATTGCTTGTCTCTTGTTCATACAATTTGCCCCATCAAGGAATTCTCTAAAGGTACACCAGAATCGTGAGTCAGCAAGAATGTGGTACAATGGGGAGATCAGTAGGACTGAATTCAACATTCAGATTCCAGCTCTGACTCTCCTGCTTAAAACCACCTCATCTATGGTGAATATCACCCAAATTCTCTGAATCTCAAGCTCCTTTTCTGAAAAAGGGGATTGTGATGTATATGTGTCCTCCTCCATGAATGTGTGATTATTTTTTGAAAAAGGGAGAACATTCCTGAAAGATAAGCTAGTACTATTATATATTATCTTTTCTGGCATGTATTCTCCCCATAAAAGTAAATATTGAGTAATATTTTATTTAATAAACTCATAAAATGCCACCAATAGATTCTATATGAGTTTAGTAATATATTTAGAATATTTACAGTATGCCTACTATATACCATTTATCACCTGGCTACTACATTAAAATTAAATTAAATTAAAAACTACATTAGTGACTAGTGATTGACAGCACTATTAAGCAGTCATTATTGTCCTCACTGGAGAGAACAAAATCCACAAGGACCATCAGTTCCGTATGCTTCGTCTCCTGTGTGCAGAAGAAAGTTCTAGACTGGAGCCAAGAAGCATTATTATTCCCATTTTACAAATGGAGTTTCTGAGGCTCAGAACTTGAGTTTCCCAAAATCAGACAGAAGGTTGGTGACAAACACATTCCTCACACACACACACACACACACACACACACACACTGACCACCACCACTGTGCGGCAGTTACTGGGGATTGCGTTTAACCTACAGGGAAACTGAGATTCAGAGAGGTGAAAGTAGCCACTCTAAATTTTCCAGGCAGAAAGTTGAGGAGCCAAGACCTAACCCCTGGTCTGTGGAGGCAAAGCTGATATTCCTTCTATTCTGAGAGTTTTAAAAGATCCATGTCAAACAAGTGAACTGTGCCTCCTCCTTTTATTTAATAAACAGTTGTAACATCAATCCCTCTGTATTTTACAACTTTCTTGTTCACCTTCTCCTCCCTCCGACACTAGGAAGCCCTTTCTTTACTCTTTCATCTGCTTTAACTGAGCTCCAAAATTCATACCAGTTCTATTTTCTTTCCAGAGAGGAAGCATTGTCTTTTCAATTTCTTTTTCTTTCTCTTCTTTTTTCTTTCTTTTGCCAGCTGTATTTATATTGCTAAGAGTTCAAGGACTATCTTCCTTAACAATGCCAGATCTTTGATGCATTAGATTTAGGAGGACAGCCCCAGTGGATGGATGAATTGACAAAAACTCTTTATTGAAGTTCAAATAGAAAAACTTTGTACCACTGCAGAAATTCAAGATTTCAGCCAACCTCTTTGTTCACAATGTCCCATGGTGTGGCTATTCTTCAGTGGACCATCTCCCTAGGAATCCTTATTTCTTCAAATACCTCCTTTAGGTTCACTGTCGGCACTTTAATACCTTATTTCTGCTCAGCGCAAACTTTTCTAGTTTCTCTTTTTCTGGTTAGCACCATTGGAAACCAGATGAAGGCAGCTTCTCACTTTGCACTGATAGTTGATCAAGATAAACCGGCCAACACAAAGGTTACAGAGATGATATTGTACAGGCTAGAGGAAGGTCGGGTAACCAGAAACCCAATCACAGGGATTAAGGGAAAAATCAGCACAGATAATCTCCAGCTTCCAATGTTTGCCCGAAAAAGGCTCAGCGCTAGCCTAACTATTTCCTTTGCTCTACATAAAAGAACCTTGTTCAGCTTTAGATCCCTTCTTTGTCATGAAATCAGCCACTTGAATCAAACCCCTTAAGGACGTCTGCCACACTGAGTTCTGCTTTGAAAGGTGTCTAATTATCCTGTAGTCCCGGGAGCTGCCCAGCGTGCTCCAGGACTTAGCAAGTTACTTTTTTATCTTTCAGCCACATAAGGAATCTCTGCAATGTAAATGCTATAGGTGATCAGAACTATTTTACTCACAGCTTAGCCCATACATGTTTCTATTTAACAACAAAGAATTATTAAGGGATATGTACCATAAAACATCAAGGTGAGAAGGATTTGTTTTTTAGAGGCATTTAAACACAGGTTGAATCCAAAACTGGCCACCATCTAGCTCTGTGACCTTGAGTATTCACGTGACTTTGCGGTTAGTTCTATTTCACCAAAACCGAAAATCAAAGCAAATGACAGCAGTGTTAAGAGTGTTGGAAGGGCTATGGCATAGAATACTGCAAAGATCAAATTATATGTGTAGAGTACTTAGTGTTTGGGAAGGCTGCATAAACAACTATGAATGGACCTGAAGCCCATTTAATATGCACAACTCTTGGGTTCTGTATGGCAGATTATGTGACTACCACACCTTGTTAAAAGCAAACTGTAGAAAAAAATCCTGTCACACATATAGACATTACCACTAATCATTGATAAGCAGAAACAAATCAGGTGCAAAATATTCTTTAAAGTCTTATTAAGTTGTAGCTCTCATATAGTGCTCTCTTTAACACCTTGCATGAAACATTTGCTCAAGATAAACGTATCATTAGAAAGTCTCTCACACCAATGGCTAGCACTGATCTGTTCAGGACTCAGGACCCTAGCCCAGAGCTTCTGGCCTCCTTGAATTCTTATACCCTGCTCATGCTTATGTACCTAAAAACATTTCAATCAGTCCACACATCCCTTTAATTTTAACAGCAAGAGTTCTCTTCTTTCATTAATAATGCTAGTCAAAAGAAGCCCGCAATTTTTACCTCTAAAAAGCTATTTTTTAATGTAGTATGCAGTTTATGAATAACATTTAACATTCTTATTTCTAACATATTTCCAGCATCCATGGATAAATTAGGTGTGAATGATATAGATTTGGATTATGCAGTGCTTGCCCTAGTATCTCAGCATGGACCTTCTAGTTAGAAACCTTGCTGCCCACCCCTGGGTGGAAGTACTTGAATATTCATATAATATTTACAGGATACACTGAGATATCATACCCACAATGCCACTGTGCATATTTTAAGGTAAGTGACAGAGAATTACTAAAGGACACAGTAAAATATCATGGAAATGATTCATCCAATTAAAGCAAACATTCCTTATAATTAAAAGGAAAAAAATATATTTGTGAAAGTCAGTAGTTATGACAATGATTACCATATTTTCATCTACTATCTTACCTTTTTTATTTATTTATTTTTTTGACAGGCAGAGTGGACAGTGAGAGAGAGAGACAGAGAGAAAAGTCTTCCTTTGCCGTTGGTTCACCCTCCAATGGCCACTGCTGCCAGCGCGCTGAGGCCGGCGCACCACGCTGATCCAAAGGCAGGAGCCAGGTGCTTCTCCTGGTCTCCCATGGGGTGCAGGGCCCAAGCACTTGGGCCATCCTCCACTGCACTCCTGGGCCATAGCAGAGAGCTGGCCTGGAAGAGGTGCAACCGGGACTATCTTACCTTAATTGTCATTCTCAGAATAGGAAAGCTGGAATGTAGAATTTTCCATGGGAGCCTCCATAGCGTAGGATGACAGCCTTGGAAGGTGCTAGAATGAAAAAAAGCAAGATGGGTGAGGGTGTGGGTATCGTGGCTAATAATGAAATGCCTAGATTTTACTAGCCATTTGAAGTTTGGAACTTTAAATACCAAACACCATCTCTTCCCTCAGACCACTGGAGTACAGGTCGAAAACTGGTCAAGATCCCTATAACCTTTAAAGATGGGGTCATTGCAAACACTCAGTTTCTAGCTGAGAGAAAACACAGACAATGCGGTACATTGTTAACAAATGTCTTTATCCAGACTTGATAAGTGTCTGATGACGTTGAAGGGAGACATGAAAAAGCTGCTACTTGTCTGAGCAAGTTGCACATCCAACTAATAAAAGGTATCCACCATGTCTAGTTCAGGCTGTGGAACCTGTAATAGAAAAATCCATCTGTTCTCTAGCTGCATTATTGGCAAATCTATTCCTTATTCCCCATCACACTACCCCATAAAAGAAAAAAAGAAAAAAATCCCAATGCCATTCTCCCATTATAATTTTATAGGAAGAGCTAACCATTGCATTACAGTTGTAATAGTAACATTCCAACTAATTCATTTGTCAGTACTAACACTCTTGATTGACTTTGCCATTTGAAGAGTTATAAAGAATAAACTGGTCAATTAGCAAATAAGTTATGCTCTAGAAACTTCTCATGTAAGTGATGCATTAGAGGACACATATTTCAAAAGCTGAATATTAAAAAAAACATTGCCACAGTTGGACCCTTAAAACTTTTAAACTTTTAAAACTGAAGAACTGAAAGGGATATTGCTAAAAAACATTGACCTGAATCAACTTATCTAATAATGCACACAAAATATTTGAGACATATGTGAAAGCCACAAGCTAAAATTATATAAAACTCTAATTACAGGATATATTTCTAAAATATTTAGGGAGAAGAGGAAAATACATAAAAGTCATGGCAGTACATGGATATTTAAACATCTAAAATATGTGTATTCAATAGTCTCATATATTCTGGGAATTTAGGTTATAGCAAAGTATATTCCCAGAATATACATATCATTTATACAATCAATTATACTTTTCTTTTCTCTGGAAATTTTTCTGAAAAATCTTGAAATCACTGTCTCATTAATAATGTCGCTCTTTTTTTCCCAAAGAAACCTTTTATTTCAGGAATACAAATTTCATAAGCACAACTTTAGGTATGTAGTGATTTTTCCTGTCATGCCTGCACTCCCAACCACACTCCCACTCCTCCTCCTCCCTCTCCAATTCCCAATAATGTCCCTCTTTACTACAAACAAGACTTGAATATTTATACTTCAATCTTCATTTCTTACAAGTACTGTTCCTGGACTAACAGAATTTCATAAGTGAAATCTGAAAACATGAGTTCTATCCTCCCCTTCTACCATAAATTAGATCATCTGAGGTCTCATCATCTTAATAGTTGTATAAATTATGTTTTACCTAAATTTTCAACCACTCTAGAAACCTGTATTCATGGGGCAGGTGCTATGTGGGTTAAGCTACCGCATTGGACTCCTACAATGCAAATCAGATGCCGGTTCAAGTCCTGGCTCCGATGTTTCTGATGCAGCTCCTGATAAAACATCCTAGGAAGCAGCAGATGATGGCTCCAGGGCTTAGGCCATGGCCACCCACGTGAGAGACAAGCGGGAGTTTCAGGCTCCTGGCTTTGACCTGGCCCAGGCCAAGCTGTGGTGGGCATTTAGGGAGTGAACCAGCAGAAGAGACAGCTCTCCCCAACCCCCTTCTTTTCTCTCACTCTGCCTTTCAAGTAGATGACAATAAACATTGGAAAGCATCTATTAAAAAAAAAAAAAAAAAAAACAGAAACCTATGTTCATGAAATAACTCAGTTTCTGAATTCTCTAAGGAACAGGAAGAAGACAGAGATTTATATAAATTCAATAACCAGACATTTTAATCCAAAAATAAGTTTTGAGAAAAACTATTTAATTAAATTCTTAATAGTAAAAAATAATATAAAAGAATTAACTTTTGTGAAGTCTTATATGCATACTCTCTCTCTAGAATGTTCTCATTAAATTTCCATAATTGATTTTATTCTTTTTACTCTTTTACTCAGGACCTTTTGAACAATGTTGCTCTCTCTTTCATTGAGGGGAAGCTCACATATTACAAATTAATTTTCCCATCAACAATGAACCTAATTAAGGTTGTAAGGAATGAGCAACCATTCTGTCTTTAAGAGGAAGTGATATTCAAACCAGGTTTTGAATGATGGAAAGGAGATTTCAGGCAGAAAATGGAAGAAAAGCTACTCTATGCTAAAGGAACAATGCCAACACAGGAACAAAAATGTCAAAGAGAAAACATTGAGACGTTCCATATGGCTATTTAGGAGGAGGTAGATAGTACAGTAGGTAGGCCTTGAGAGCTATAGCTACTGTGGCCAAACTGCAAGGAATTTTGGATTTTAATCTCCAGGTACTGAGAATAAATATACATTTATAGGCAGCCAAATGGCATGACCAGATTTTTACATGTGAGATTATAACCTGCAATGACGGTGAAGCGGCCTGGGGTAAGAGAATATCCAAGACAAGAATTTCACGGGTGATTAGTTTGGGTGAGATGCATGAGACTGTGAAGTATGGCAGTTAACAGAAATGAATATGTTTTGGAAGAAATTATTATATAATGTTCAAATAATATGTTCTTGAGGAAATCAGCTTTAATTAGTGGTTAATTACCAATAATATGTTTTAGAGAAAAAGAATAGATCTTAGAGAAAAGATCAATTTTAGAGATATTATTAATACTAACTGGAGGTATTCAAAAGTATTTATCAGGAGTCAGTGTTATGGTGTAGCTGGGTAAAGCCACCACCTGAGACGCCAGCATCCCATATGGGTGCCAGGTTCTTCAAGTTCTGGCTGCTCCACTTCCGGTTCAGCTCCCTGTTAATATACCTGGGAAAGCAGTGGTGAGATGGTCCAAGTGCTTGGGCCCCTGCATCCACTTGGGAAACCCAGAAGAATCACCTGGTCCCTAGCTTTGGCCTTGTCCAACCCTGGCCATTGCAGCCACTTGGGGAGTGAACCAGTGGATGGAAGAGCTCTCTCTCTTTCTCTCTCTGTCTGTGTATGTGTGTGTGTGTGTGTGTCTCCCTCTCTATAGCTCTTTCAAATAAATAAATAAGTTTTTTAAAAATTGTCAAATAAGGATTAATAGTAGTTTAAAAAGCAAAGGAAATTCTATCTGTAACATTCATTGAATTTATTTTCCTTCAAATTCCTACTAGGGTGTTTAAATTTATTTTTTTAAGTTGTATTTATTGATTGGAAAGGGGAAGAGAGAGAGAGAGAGAGAGAGGAGAAAGAGAACAACAGATACAAAGATCTTCCATCTATTGGTTCACTTCCCAAATACCTGAAACAGGCATGGCCATGCCAACGCCAGGAGCCAGAAACTCAATCCAGGTAGCTCATGTGGGTGGCAGGGACTCAAGTACTTGGGCCATCATCTGCTGCCTCCCAGGGTGCACAGTAGCAGGAAGCTCAAATCAGGAGTGGAGCCAGGACACAAGTCCAGGCACAGGTTTCTCAAGTGTCTCAAGTATTGGCTTAACTGCTACACCAAACCCAGCACCTAGAATTTCTTGCTCTCGATTTTTCATTGAGTCCTGATAGCCAATACCTTCTTAAGTATTTAATAGACATGGAGGATAATATTATAATTATCTCCATTGGAACACTAATTTTTTGTCAATTAAATTGACTGATATGTGATTATTAATTACTTACAAAACAAAATAGACTAATCTGAATTGACATCACAAATATTTCTAGAAGGTCACAAGAGTTAAAAACAAAAATATTCCTGAGGTAGTATTTTTTTTTAAAGATTTCATTTATTTATTTGAAAGGCAGAGTTACAGAGAGGCAGAGGCAGAGAGAGACAGAGGTCTTCCATTCCACTGGTTCACTCTCCAAACAACACAACTGCCAGAGCCAAGATGATCTGAAGCCAGGAGCCAGGAGCTTCTTCCAGGTCTCCCACGCAGGTGCAGGGGCCCAAGGACTTGGGGCCATCTTCTACTGCTTTCCCAGGCCATAACAGAGAGCTGGATCAGAGGTGTAACAGCCGAGACTTGAATCGGTGCCCATATGGGATGCCAGCACTGCAGGTGGCAGCTTAGTCCACTATGCCACAGCACTGGCCCCAGTAGTATTATTTTATAAAAAGATTTATTTATTTATTTTGAAAGGTGGAGTGACAGAGAGATTTTCCATCTATTCGTTTACTCCCCAAATGTGTGCAACGGCCAGCCCCAGCTGTCGGGAGCCAGGAACTCCATCCTGGTCTCCCACATGAATGGCAAGGGCTCAAGTATTTGGGCCATCCTCTGCTGCTTTCCTAGGCACATTAGCTGGGAGCTGGCTTGGAAGCGGAGCAGCTGGAACTTGAAACAGCACTCCAATGTGAAATGCCAGTGTTGCAAGCAACAGCTTAACCTGCTGCACCACAATGCTTGCTCCTTCTGAGTTAGTACTATACAGGCTCAGCCTTCTTCAGTAATGTAACTACTTACTGTAGATTCTTAAATTGATCCAAAGATTAACTTTCAGGTCCAATATAAAGGGGGCAAAAGGGTGACTCCAACTATTTGATAATTTACTATGCTTGGCGATCTTGCTGATCTTTATTTCATAATTAAGGAAAAAACCTGAATCAAACAAAACAGTTTGATAGTGTTCCCTGAATACTAAAAAAAATACTCAAAGAATATTCTGGGAGCTAAGATCTTTTATCATTTTCAAGGTTGAAAAACTCCACACCTTTGTTCAGGTGAAGAACATGTCACGTTCTTGTAGTTTGGTAACTTCATAGGAAAGGGGTCATTTTTTTTCATTGTCTCTAGTGGAAAACAGGGGCTGGTGGTGTGGTACAGTAGGTAAAGCCGCTGCCTGTGACACTAGCATCCAATACAGGTGCCAGTTCGAGTCCTGGCTGCTCCACTTCCAATCCAGCTCCCT